AGTTGGGAACGAAGTGAACAAAGGAACAAATGACGCTGCTGAAGAGGTGTCACCTGAAAAAGCCAATGTCGAAGAAGAAACTGTACCCGATTTTGAGAAGGGAAACAGCGAAGCCCTTGATGAAGTGACTACCACTGATGTGACTGTTACCAATGATAGGACATTTCCTGATGAAGCAGATGAACCCCACGTGAAGCAGAAGCCAACAAGACGGAGACCAGTACGGAAGAATATACGTCCCGTAAAATTAATAGACTTTGTTGAATTGTAATTTTGTGTTTGTAATTCTGTACATTTAATTGAGTTATTGTTATTGGTTTATTGTATGTGGCTATTGTTCGGGACGAACAATATTAAGGAGGGGCAGTGTTGCGTCAGCGAGGTCACGTGACTCGTTCTCTCGAACCTTCGGGAGATTACTAGATATAGGGTAGTCTGGTATATATATAAGAGGGTGACAACGTGACGGGACAATATGTGTGTATGTAGGTAATGAGTAATTGAACTGCAGTCAGAGAGAGACGTATTGTTGAAGTCTAGCTCGTGATACGTGAATTATAGTTTGTTATAGCGCAATTGTTGAAGTTGAGTGTATCGGTAAAGTTATATTCAGAAAGAATAAACCAGTTTTATTAAGTAAGGACTTGTGTCGCTAAAGTTTCGTCGGAATGAAGTAACGGAAAGTTAATTTACAAACGGAGACGTAACAGTATACAAAACACAACATAATAGTGCTAAAAAACGAACTCGAGGTAACTGTAAGCGTATTGATTAAAGTCCAACGTGAGAGGTACCGATAAATAAACCGTTTCAAAATAATTTAACTGTTACTGCAGTAAAAAGAATAGAATAACTAATTTTATAGTAATTACAGTTACACAGTAATCTATAATTCTTAATGTGCTTAAAAATATTTTCGTAATAAGTAGAACGAAAAAACGCTATAAAACCACAATCATCGTATAACCTTTCTATAAATTAAATAATTACAAGTAGAGTGTATTAAATTATCATATTGTTACGACAGCGGAAGTTACGTGACGCTGGTAACACGTAATGAGTATCTCGAACGTTCCTGAAGGCTTGAGTGTTTGTCAGACGTCCTCTATTTTGTATATATATAAGACCGGCGAGAAATGACGACATAGATATAATTGAATAGCAGACAGGGAGATAGAGACAGATAATCGAGTCAAGCCGTAGGTAAAGTGTGTAAATCGTTGTGAATTATAGCGTGTGTTTAAGTTAAATGACTATGGAAATTCTGTGTATTGCACAGTTGTATTGAGGAAGAATAAACTAGTTTTGTTTAAGAAAGGGCTTGTATCGCTGAAGTTCCTCGGGAAGAATTTTTAAGGGAAATTATCAAACGAACAGAGACGTAACAGTATAATTATTCGTAATAAGTCATAAGAAAACACATTCCTATCAATGCGTCCTCCATTTGATCAACAGTAAGTTTACGTACTTGCAACGCTAAATTTCGGGGTTCGATTACTTGTGGTGGAAAGAACGTAAACAGTTTATTTTGCAGCTTTACGCTAATAATTAATGCTTCACTCATGCAGCCTCATCAACTAAATAAAAAATAACATTACACAACAGCTTTATCCTATACGATATAAAGAAATGAACAATGACGTCTTTTCACTCAGCAACTCATGGTCGTTTTTAATTTTTCAATAGAAATTTTAATTATAAAACGAAAAGATAAAAGAGTGGATGGTTAAGGTGTATGTTAAATAAAAAAATATTAATAGACAAACTTTTTTTTTAATTTTATGCTTATTCACAGTTAAATCATCCTACATAATTTGTAATATGAGCAGAGGCAGGAGATTAATACACATGCTATTTATTTAAAAAAAACACATTTTTTGAGACTTAAAGATTATTTTACTACGTTTATTTTATTATCACGCTCCAATATTTGTGCGTTTTTTCATAATATCATTCGAGCATAATAATTTTATCTTTGATGGTCATAAAGTCACTGAATAGAGCGACTATCACATGTAGTGGATTATAAGTTCACTCAAAAATATAACGTAAGCTGCGGCAAACCTCATCTTTTTTTAAAACTCTTTGCCAGTTTCAAAATATGCTGGTTTTTATCGTGTCGTTCCAAAGTATTGAAAGTAATGGTTTATCAGAATGATTTGTCACTGTCAAGTACAGCTTCAAACACCAAGGAGAAAAAGAATCGTTTTATTTCTAAGGTTGATTGCATCACTTTTCCTCCGTATTCAAAAGACGAAAAAAAATGTCACAATTCATTTTACAGATCCGTCAATTTCAGCCATCCAGTATTAGTGTTGACGGTGTCTCCGTCAAGCATTTGGTGTTGGCACTGATAATGTTGTCGCCTGTTGTTGATCTGACGTCAACACTGATGGTGCTGATGTCAACTGTCTGATACGAACACGATGAAGGCGTTATCTCCAGTCGTGTGATATCAACAGTGATGGTATCGATGGTATTAATATCAGTTATATTGCACTAACATTAATGGTGTAGATGTCAATTATCTCTCATTAGTAATGATGGTATTAACATCAATTATATTGCACTAACATTGATGGTGTTGATGTCGATTATCTTACACCACCATTGATAGTATTAATGCCAGTTAATTGATATCAGTAGCCATGAGTATAATGTTGTCAGTCAGCTGGAATTAGTTCTGAGGATTTCCATATCGCTCAAACGTTATCGTCACTGATTTACTAATGTCAAAACTCATGAATGTTGACCTCATGTCGTCACGGACGATGCCCATGCTGTCGTTTTGTAGAAGCTTGTTCTTATCGGCTTTCTGGTATCGTCATTTACTTATTCTTATCGTTAAACACAGACATACACATATGGTGTATATATTCAGAAGATAATAACTTTGTTGGAAAATTACCTCATCATAGATTATCGAAGAGATTAATGCTTTTTAACCAAACTTCTCCGATGATATTGGATGGCCAACCCAAATTTGAAAAAAAATGTCCTTGTTCTATAACGTAGTGTATATGAATGAAAAAAATAAATTGATCATAAAACAAGTTTGTTAAGAGAATAAACCGTTACAATTATTTTTTGTTCCTGACAGTATCACTCACTACTGTGCCTGTTTGTGCAATAAAATTAATATGATATTAGTTATGGCAGAAACACACAAGTTCAAATATTTGTGGACACCAATTGTACTGCACCTTAAAATAACTTATGTCTGCAGCCCATGATTGTTTTAGAGTAAAGCCACATTGGGTTACCTGCTGTGTCTACCGCTGTCCCATCTTTTAGATTAATGATGCTCGAAACTGCAGTCCTCAGGTTTTCTATTTCGTGTGATCTCATTTTACAGCTTTCAACACCAACGACTGAAGAAAACTAGAGAACAATAAATTGAAAGGCCTAATAGCCTAAAATTTTTCAACGGAGAGAAGGAGGAGTAAAAGTGTGTGCATATCTTTAAAAACAATACCAATCCAAATTCATAATTCACTTAGTAAGAACGAGGTTGAAAGTTGTAAATATCAAAATATCCTTAATTTTTACTAGTGAGTACGATGAAAAAGAGAGTCCACGTTTGAAACTCGAAATCTCATAATGATGGTTAAAGAGTGACATTTTTATTTGAACCAAAAGTTGAACTCCATTTTCCAACACATGCACATCAAATAACAAATTAAACTATCTATTTTACGTTCTAATGTTATTTTTTCAAACGTAATGAAGTCTGCACACAGTAACTTGACATGCATCATTAAATGGCTTAGACAAACATAAAAATAAATTTTATTCTCGGAAGTTGCCAGTCACAAATGCACGAAGATGCAGCATAACATCACCACTGATAAAAGTATAAAAGGTCACAGTTCAAATTACATTGAAAAACATAATATCAGCTCTCTAAACTTAATAGCGCATTACTGCTGTGTAACTAAATGATCATGGCCATGTAAATAAAACATATTTTTTAATAAGACAGTCACGCTACTTAACATCTAACAATAGTTAACTCTTGTAAACCAACTGTTTGTTTTAAAATAACACTAAAGTGCATTTCAAAATTGCTTAAATTTTTTTTGGGAAAACTTGCGTAGGGACGAGAGTACACTATACGACGGACCTCATGTTAGGCTTACCTTGCACTCACGAAATGCTTTTTTCTCTTTTTCCGTGGTTCATTTAATCGAAAACACAACTTGGGTCGTAGACGTTTCATTAATTTCGTTGTAATGGTTATTATATTTATATTTTTGCTCTCAGTTGTTTATCACTCATTAATTTCGTTGTTAAGGTTGCAGTAATTATCTTTCTGTTTTCAATCGTACATCTTTCAGCTATTTCGTTGCCATGGTCACGATAAATTTGCGTGAAGCTTCACATTACTAAATTAGACATAACCCTGAGTATTGTGCCCATAGTAACGATTGCAATAGTATCAAGGTTATCTTTTATTGGACGTTCGTGTGGAAAAATTATTGGTTAACGAAGTATTACATGACACTTATATATATATATACTAAAAATTAACATCGTTAGGTCAACCTGTATTAATAGAAGAACATCGTCTGTTTTGTTCAAAATATAAGCTTTAAGCACCAAAATTCAAAAACATTATTATGGGGCTAACGATATTTTAATATACGATTTATAAAAAAAGTTTATAAATATTTAACTGCCAATACAATGAAAAACCGTTTTAATAAATCTCAAAAGTATGCAGTAATGGGACGAAAATGTTTACATATTACACAGTAATGACAAACTAAACTAAACTTCTTTGCGGTTAATATAAAATAAAATATTGGGTTTTACTTTAAATAAAACGCAGTTAACTAAAAATAAAAATCGGGTTTCCACAAAATATACGGTGTTATAATGAAGTTTATATAACACGCAATAATAATAACCAAGATACTTATTAAGATATATATGGCATGTAATAACGGAAAGTCACATGTTTTACTAAGGTTTATATAAACACAATAACGCCCTATCAGATACCACTGTTTCACTGATGTTTATATGATAAGAAATAGCAGTCAAACACTTGTTTTTTCACTATGGTATGTAGTTGGCTATATCACAGAATCGACCCAATAGGTTAGTAAATTCCATTGTGGGAAAGAGTAGACGCTTTTCTAGTTTATTTATCCAGATTTCTGCTACTTATTGTCAGAAACGTAAAATAAGTGTTTTGTTTACAAAGTGTATAATCTGAAACAACATATCCAACTGATAAACTAAACTTTCCAAATAGGTTTATTAACGTATTTCTGAACAATCCATTCCTTTCAAGCTATTACGTCTCTCCTATGCCTTTTCTCTTCAGTGCTATTCTAATGGTAACTGTATAAATTACTTGCCCTTTACTCTTCTTCCAGTAAATAAGCAAGGTCTTCAGTGATTTTATACGATCCTGCTTTTAACACTTGCTATTATAACACTATAATATCCTTGTCTGTCATTCGTATTGTTCTCATATTAACGTGTAATCGTTGTCTTTACATGCTAGTACAAAACCAGACAATGCTATTATTATATACGTAGTTCTCTATATCTACTGATGAAAACTACTCAGTATCACTAGCTTTGACAAAAGTCACTAGGGATTGCATAAATGTTGAAATCTTACTATCTAATCGAAAGAATGTCTAGAAAATTTAGTAATATTTGGCGTTAAAATAATGCTGCGCACACCTTACATTTAAAGGACAAAAAAAAACAACAACAACGAGGTTTTCATCAAGACAGACTAGATTCTACAGATACTAGATCACAGCTAAACAATAAAAGATTATCTTGAAAAATATGTTTTTGTTTCCCATATGTTCCATTTCCCCTTTATTCTTACGTGACTGCAATCATAATCACTTTACTGTTAGTCAACCGCAGTCATAATCCATTTATTGTTAAATGACTGCAGTCATAATCCCTTTATTGTTAATAAACTGCAGTCATAATCACCTTTGTTTTTAGACCAACGCTGTCATAATCCCTTGTTTAGTTAACCGCAGTCATAATCCCTTGTTAAGTTAACCGCAGTCATAATCCCTTTATTGTTAATAAACCGCAGTCATAATCACCTTTATTGTTAGATGATAGCAGTCATAATCCTCTTATTGTTTAGTTAACCGCAGTCATAATCCCTTTATTGTTAATAAACCGCAGTCATAATCCCTTTATTGTTAATAAACCGCAGTCATAATCCCTTGTTTAGTTAACCGCAGTCATAATCCCTTTATTGTTAATAAACCGCAGTCATAATCCCTTTATTGTTAATAAACCGCAGTCATAATCACCTTTATTGTTAGATGATAGCAGTCATAATCCCTTTATTGTTAATAAACCGCAGTCATAATCACCTTTGTTTTTAGATCAACGCTGTTATAATCCCTTTATTGTTAATAAACCGCAGTCATAATCCCCTTATTGTCAGAGGACCGCATTCATAATCCCTTTATCGTTTAGTTAACCGCAGTCATAATCACCTTTATTGTTAAATGTCCGCATCCATAATGTCAGACTAAGTACACCAAGCGAATTTCCATAATGTAAATTGTAATTTAAATTATTTGCCTTCATTTAAATTTAACAATGGCATTAGTTTACATTCTATTAGGTAAGTTATTATAGTTATTGTCATGACAATTAATGTTGCCGGTACAGCAAAGTTATTTTAATTTAATGTTACTATAGAAATAAACTTTTTTTTTTTAAACAACGATGTTTACTTCATGTTCCGTTAAAAGCTAATTCAAGACAAAAACTTTGTAATTACGGGAATAACTTCTGAAAGGGGAAGAGAACATGCTGAGTATATTAATAATAATTTGTTATTTTAACAATAGAGACTTCGCTTACGCTTAACGAAAATAAAATATCATGAGTATCATCGCATGGTTGATAAACTTTAAACCAAATGTAAACAGAATTGGCTGAAATCAGACTGTTGATGACACAGAAAACCTCTTAAAAACGATAATAAGGCTCGCAAAAAGATGGAATTTTTGAAAAATAAAGGCAGTACTCATGATGGGTAGAGGGACAAGGCTTGGACAATCTTGGGGTCTTGTTTCGATCCTTCCCGGAATTCCTCCATTGATAACTTATTGTCGTGGTTCTGAAAACATGGAAAATTGTAGACAAAGTGTATTACGAAAGTAAACTATATATTTTTAATTCTCAATTTTGTCTTTTTTACTTCTTATACTTGTATTCTATCGTAACAAAGAGCAGTTTCAATGGTGTTTAATAAAACTTTGTAATCACAAGAAAAAATGGTCCCATTATATCACTGAAACTGTAGTTATTAACAATATCAACTTTCGTAGGTGATGTTTTACATTTTATATTGTACAGGGCCGTATAAAGAAAGCTTTTACTAGCGGTACAATGAAAGTCATAAATTTTATTCAAGGTTTGGTGATAATAAAGGGTGTTTCAAAAACCTTCAGAGATGTTGAAAATAGTTTCCGTCATTCTCAATCAGCATATTAAATGATATCCCTAAATGAAATTACTGATTTAAAAGTTTTCATTGATTCTCTGAATATCCTGTAAAAATGGCACGTGACATTATTCTCCCTGTACACAATAAATATTCTTTTCTTATAACCAGTAGCTCAGATATTACTGACACGTGACATTATTCTCCCTGTACACAACAAATATTCTTTTCTTATAACCAGTAGCTCAGCTATTACTGACACGTGACATTATTCTCCCTGTACACAATCCTCTTTGCCTATTACCAGTAGCTCAACTATTACTGACACGTGACATTATTCTTCTTGTACACAATAAATATTATTTGTTTATAACCAGTAGCTCAACTATTACTGACACGTGACATTATTCTTCTTGTACACAATAAATATTATTTGTTTATAACCAGTAGCTCAGCTGTTACTGACACGTGATATTATTCTTCTTGTACACAATAAATATTATTTGTTTATAACCAGTAGCTCAACTATTACTGACGCGTGACATTATTCTTCTTGTACACAATAAATATTATTTGTTTATAACCAGTAGCTCAACTATTACTGACGCGTGACATTATTCTTCTTGTACACAATAAATATTATTTGTTTATAACCAGTAGCTCAACTATTACTGACGCGTGACATTATTCTTCTTGTACACAATAAATATTATTTGTTTATAACCAGTAGCTCAACTATTCTTCGATATGAAATGTATGGTAGTCTTGATCTTAAGGGTTGTTTTCTCTGTTTCCGACATATGTATCTCTGTTTATTTAATGTTTGTTGTTAACCATAGAGCTGCACAATGCGCTGTCTGTTCTTTGCCCACCGTGGGTATTGAAACCGAATTTTTGCGTTATAAGTTCTCAGGTATACCACTGAGTCACCGGGGGGGGGGCGGGGTAGTTTAATTACTGGATTGTCCGAATGTAAGTTGCTGCTATTGGTATTTGCATTTTATTTTTAACTAACTATTCAACATTATAATGTCAGCTAGTATATCGAGCTGACAAGGCATGTGGAAACATTGAATATATATATATATATATGTGCCTTCATATCTATTCCATTCTTTTTAACACTGAGATGGGTAGCCTGATTAGTGTGATTTATGAGTTAAAGAAGTCTTATTATTAAATACTATTCACAACATTCACAGATTAAACAGTTTGAAATCTGATTGAGCCAACTGCGGCGAAACTTTGAAGATGTCGTCTGGAAGATAGATAATTTCATTAAAAGCCAGTCAAATTGTGACTTACACAAATACAGTGAGCGAGAAAAATGTTGAACCCCGAAAGCGCTCATGCTTATGTGGACGTTCCGAATTTTAGTCTCAGCTAACATAGTAGAGTTATACGTCAGCGCCCGCCGTCTCATACCCAAGTCGCGCTGCCTATAATCAAGATTGATTATCCTTTTACAGGAAGGTTATCAAACGCCCATTCTTAAACATTGCAGAGGTAACTTTATATTACAAAAATCATTTTAAGCCTCAGTCTGAAGTTATGTAGACACTGTTTCCATACATATTCACTTCAGCAGAGCATCAACACTATTCTGAATGTTCACGTAACGTGTTATCCAAAAAAAAATAAAAAAAAATCACAATGTTTCTCAACTTGCGATTTCAAGAAGGCTTTTTAGATGTTTTAATTATTGCAATTAATATTGGGAGCAAATGTTTAAGCAAAAGATCCATTTATAGCCTCGTGCCTTCAGAAACTGGCAAGATTTTGGCCAAATCCAAAAATCTGAATAAGGTCTGTTAATCTTGAATTTAGCCATAAAGCCCTTTTTTTAAATCTAAACTTTACTGAATGAATCCTAAATTACTCTGACTAGATGGTCTTTGGGGGGGGGGGTGCTAACCCGTACTTCTGTCCCTCAATTAATGTAGATTATCTTCTTATTTTTTTTTACATTCTATCTACCATAAGTGTCGTATGTTAAAGTTAGTTCTCAAAGCTAATTCATAAAGGTTAATGACTGACGAAGTTACTGGACAAGAATATGTGTGATTTTTAATTTGGAAATCAAAATTAAAATATACTTAACGATATGTTGCTGAATTAATAATGTCTCCGGTTTATTCTCACGCTTCTCAAGTTAGTAATCAAAACAGAGAAGGAAGCAGATGACTAACTGTATTAGTATTTTGAACATAAACTGTAACTTACAAAGATAAATGGCAATGTCAGAAACCCCTATGGTTCAAGTATAGCCGACTGCATCCGGCGCCAAGTGTGCTTTGTTTGTTTGGTTTCAATTTCGCGCAAAGCTACACGAGGGCTATCCGCGCTAGCCGTCCCTAATTTTAAGAATGAAAGACTAGAGGGAAGGCAGCTAGTCATCACTACCCACCGCCAACGCTTGGGCTACTCTTTTATCAACGAATAGTGGGATTGACGGTCACATTATAACGCCCCCACGGCTGAAAAGGGGCGAGCATGTTTGGTGGGATGGCGATTCAAACATGCGACTCTCAGATTGCGAGTCAAGCGCCCTAACCACCTGCCCATGCCAGGCAGTGTGCTTTGTCCTACTTTGAACCGAATAATGGGATCGACTGTTACTCCTGGTACTTTTTTATCCGCATTCGGCACAGTAACTAGTAGGTGTCGCTTGCCACTTGTATTAATAACTTACTCTAAAATTATCATATGGCAGAGTACACGTGAAGTCTCTATAGTTTGTAATTATCTCATTCTTGTTCATATTCTTTATAAGAAGATTTATTAATACTCAGGTATGGTTATAATAAAAAAAATAATTGACAAAAGTTTGTGTGCCTGTGTCCGCTTATAACTGACGAATCGCTAAACCGATTGTTACCAAACCCGGCATGCATGCCGGTAGTGGAATAGGAGGGCAGAATTTCGGATCTGACTCATCTTTGTCTTCTTTGTGCATTAAATGGGCAAGTCAGCTAGTATGTACATAAATATTGGTTTGATTTCACTAACATCGAATTTTGACAAAATTAAAAAACAACAACAAACATGTTGGTATTTTTGATAACAAAAAGCTACAAACGTTTGATTTTATATGTAATATTCTTACCTATCTTATTCGTGTTGTCGTCGAGTGTATTGAAGAAATGCAATACTCTTAAAATTTCCGTTATGTTAAAAAAGTGTGTTTAGATCTTAAAGTTTATAAAGTTATGCGCTAAATAAGTTGAGTATGAGTTATAAGCACTCTTTGGATACTTGTGTATGGAAATACGTTATGTTAATATAGCAAAAATCAAATCACTACACTCGTTTAGACAGTTAAGAAATAATTGAAATAGTTCGAAAAATCCAAGCTTGTAATACAGCAATTACTTGATTATGTTACTTAAGAAAGATTCTCACAGCGCCCTCTACCGAACACTCAGGATCATTGCCATTATTATAAGCCAATCTATAACGCTGCAAGTATCCATAAAAGTATGTTATCAAAAATGAGACCAACAGTCATTAATTATTTATTTTCTTACCTTATCCAGTTGTTCAAAAATTTTATCCACTCTTCTCTTGGGGTTATCCTCTTCCGTTTCTGGTTGTGCTTTATTACCCTAAAATATAAGGTTTGAATGTTTTAAATATATTCTAAATACTCAAATGGCGTATCTTATTTTTTATTGTAATATTCCTCAAGTATAATTCTTACTTTGCATAAAGACAATATAACCCATCTGTGTGATTATTTATTCACTTTCTTATATTTCTAATGTGTACCAACAGGTGACGCCATATTAACAAATTACCTCTTGTATAAAATAGTATACCATGCCTAATAAATATTAAAAATAAAATGACATACTACTAATGATCTGACATCGCCTGCTCTGTAATACATGGATGCAAATGTTAATAACATGTAACGTCACTGTTAAGTACAAAATACCTACAAACTAATAATTAAACTGTCTGTAAACTACACTTATTCTTATAGTATTCGTCTCGTAAATAAAATCTAAACTGTAAAATGCGAGCAACAGCTGAAAGATACGAACCTAGAGATTCTATGCATTAGGAATCACGTATTCATATATATTGGTGGTTTGTGTGATATTTTTTAACCACTATAATACAAAACTGATCCATCTTTACATGGACTGGAAGCGTCGAATTATATTTAATTCTCAATATTAAAGAAGCAGTCTCTGATATATTTAAAGCCTCTCCCTTAATAAAGAACGACCTGTATATACATACAAGTCTTCCAGTACTTATTATGTTGGATACTAGATGTTACCTGCTTCCGCCTACATACTTTCTTCTTTATAAGGTATATCAAGTGACTTATATCAGTATCTAGTATAATTTGTGTTCTGCTACAATAACTTACAATGCCACACGCGCAGGTAATTAATTTCTGGCAAACATGTGCTGGTATCATTAACTGGACAGTGAATATAAAGGACACTGTGTATGCTACTGCAGCCATCTATTTGCAATACTCTAAACACAGTGTATGTTGATTACGTCTCGTAATGTATTAATTCAGGCATTCTATTATGGATGACTTCTACCCTATCGAGCAACATTTGGAAGATAACTTTTACAATATTAACCAACGTCTAATAGATGGCTTCTATCCTATCGAGCAATATCTGGAAGATAACTTTTACAATATTAACCAACGTCTGATAGATGGCTTCTATCCTATCGAGCAATATCTGGAAGATAACTTTTACAATATTAACCAACGTCTAATAGATGGCTTCTATCCTATCGAGCAACATTTGGAAGATAACTTTTACAATATTAACCAACGTCTAATAGATGGCTTCTATCCTATCGAGCAATATCTGGAAGATAACTTTTACAATATTAACCAACGTCTGATAGATGGCTTGTATAATTTCGAGCAGTATCTGGTAGATTTCTTTAAATAGTACTAACCAACGTCTGGTGGATGGATTCTATTAATTGAAGCAACATCTAGTAAGTGACTTTCTTATGATACCAAGAAACATATGATTAATAGCTTCTGTGACTTTTACAATTACAATTTAACCAATCTGTGGTAGATGGTTTATATTATTTCAGGTAACATCTGGTAGAGAGCTTCTACCATATTGATCCACATATTGTCTGCGATACTTACCAAATTTTATAGCTGACGTCCTCAAAAGGCAAACGCCACAGGAGATTGCGTCGAAATATCTTAATTTATATCTTAAATGCTGTCCATAATATTTCATACTAATATGCCATTAAAAATGTAGCTGGTAGACAACGTCTACAATATTCACTATCATTATTTGATAAGTAGCGTCTATACTTTAATTACCATCATCTGGTGGATAGCATTTACAATATTCACTGCTATTTGATCGGTGGCGTCTATACATTCACATCATCTGGTAGATAGCATCTACAATATTTATTATCATTTTATGGGTAGTGTCTATATATTAACATCATCTGGTATATAGCGTCTACAATATTCACCATCACTTGATAAGTGACATACATACAATACTCACCATCATCTCGTAGATGGCGTTAGACAATACTCACCATTATCTGATAGATGGTGTTTAGACAATACACACTACTATCTGGTACATGACACCTAAATAACACTCACCATCATCTAGTAGATAGCGTCTAGACAATATTCACCATCTTCTGGTAGATGGTATATAGACAATACTCACCATCACCTGATAGATTGAGTATAGACAATACCCACCATCATCTGGTGCATATCGTCTAGACAATACTCACCATCTTCTGGTAGATGGAGTACAGACAATACTCATCACCATCTGGTACATATCGTCTAGACAATACTCACTATATTCTGGTAGATTAAGTACAAACAATACTCATCAACATCTGGTACATATCGTCTAGACAATACTCGCCATCTTCTGGTATATGGAGTATAGACAATACTCACCATCATCTGGTAGATTGAGTATAGACAATACCCACCATCATCTGGTACATATCGTTTAGACAATACTCTCCATCTTCTGGTAGATTGAGTACAGACAATAATCATCAACATCTGGTACATATCGTCTAGACAATACTCGCCATCTTCTGGTATATGGAGTATAGACAATACTCACCATCATCTGGTAGATTGAGTATAGACAATACTCACCATCATTTGGTAGATTGAGTATAGACAATACTCACTCTCATTTGGTACATATCGTCTAAACAATGCTCACCATCTTCTGGTAGCTGGAGTATAGACAATACTCATCACCATCTGGTACATATCGTCTAGACAATACTCACCATCTTCTGGTAGATAGAGTATAGACAATACTCACCATCATCTGGTAGATGGCGTCTACATAATACTCACCATCATCTGGTAGATGGCGTCTACATAATACTCACCCTCATTTGGTATATATCGTCTAGACAATACTCACTATCTTCTGGTAGCTGGAGTAAAGACAATACTCATCACCATCTGGTACATATCGTCTAGACAATACTCACCATCTTCTGGTAGATAGAGTATAGACAATACTCACCATCATCTGGTAGATGGCGTCTACATAATACTCACCCTCATTTGGTATATATATCGTCTAGACAATACTCACCATCATCTGGTATATGGCGTCTACAATACTGTACATTTCTTCCCGCGTAATGTATCCGTCGTTGTCCACGTCGTAAAGTTTGAATGCCCCTATAGTATAACAATTTGAAATCATTTTATTAGAAAATCTTTCTCAAATATCACTCAAGACTTCATTCTTTATTGGCCCTGAGATAAACGTTGCTTTATAATGATATTCTGATATATACAGTTATTGTTAGCTGAGGAATAAAATGTGCACAATATAACGTATGAGATAGCCTTCAAGTTAACCATGGAGGCAGAACTTGGAGTTTTGTGGAACCTGTACTTACTCACTGGTACCATTGCGGTTAAACATGTATCTCTTGAGACGAAAAATTCTAGTTTCAAATTATAATTTCCACAAATAAATTGTTATTTTATAAATTTTAAGAAAACATTATACATGCAATATTTGGCAGTTTCTTCTGAATGCTGTTTTCATTATAACTCCGAGACTAAAGGTCAAAATATTTTGTTTGGTTTACGAAACTAGTCTACTGAAGCAGAACAAGCGAATTAAAGAATAGGTTAGCTTCTACGTCATTTTTTTTCTTCAGTGAAATTCTTGTTCTAGTGAAGAAAAGAGATTAACAAATAAATAGTGAGTATGGTCAGATTTGGTACAAACTGTGTTATTACAGTAAGCGTAATATGTTGTGTGAAATATCGACTGGGAAATTTTTATTTTCATAATACACGTTTTTTAATACCTAATTATTGTGCAACAAACTTGGTATGTAATTTTAAAGAACCGCTATCAAGCCCACTATTGGTCATAAACCGTGACTAGTATAATTAAGATATATGACATACAGTTTGTTTGTTTTGGATTTCGCGCAAAGCTACACGCAAAGCTAGCCGTCCCTAATTTAGCAGTGTAAGACTAGAGGGAAGGCAGCTAGTCATCACCGCTCACCGCAAACTCTTGGGCTACTCTTTTACCAACGAATAGTGGGATTGACCGTCACATTATAACGCACCCAAAGCTGAAAGGGCGAGCATGTTTGGTGTGACGGGGATTCGAACTCGCGATTGCGAGTCGAGCGCCCTAACCACCTAGCCATGCCGGGCCAGGACATACGGAGTTGAAAAGTAGTTTATTACAAAATACAAATAAAGAAAATAATAATAAACTAGCCACATATTGTTGATAGAAATTGCCTGTTATCATTTTTATATATCAACAAAATTTCACCAATGTATCTTTTTGCTGAAACGGTTTCTGTCAACTGTTTAACTTTAAGCAATGCAAATATATATATATATTGTATTTGGGCACTTGACATTCATTAACTTATAAAAACACGCTTATCTAACAACAGAAGTACATTAATTAAACAAAAACGTTATTTAAAAATACAATAGTACTAAATACTAGAAAAAATAATTTAAAAACCAAGCAGTATAGTATACTACACAATATATACAAAAACAAATTGGTTTAATATTTTGGCTATGTGAAAACAGGCAATAAAAAAACAAAAACCTGTGCTTTAAACATTAACGTGTCTTTGAATTTCTATGTTTTAAATCCAAAACATCTAACATACACAATCTTAAAAAATGTACAAAAAAGCATTTATTATTTATTGTTTGAAATTTTTATGGACATCTCTTGCCATTTTTCTCTCTGATAAAACAATATTTCGGACTCCATATAACAAATGTTTAGAAAATAATAAATACTTCTATTGGTCTCAGCTTTGGCATTATTTTCACTTTGTTGGTTGAAATGTTTATGGTAATTTAACATTTTTCTTTGTGTTGAAATGAAGTTTCTGGTTCCATGCTGAGTCCTTCAGGTCTGTGAAGAAGAACAAATCTGAAGGAAGACAACATGGAGGCTGAAACGTCGTTCCAACAGAGAGAAAAATGGCGGGTGACCATAAAAATTTCCATCAAAAAATTGAAAATAATGCTAAAATCCCGCTTAAAAGAAGTACTCATTGTTTTCTAAAAGCCTAGCCCTTTCATACTATTCCATTAATTGATTTGTGTCCTGCGAGGTGACTTTTGTTACACATTATATTCTCATTCTCAATGTCGCAATGCTTCTACTTTTACATATGTGTCATTACCTTTGTCAACATTGGAGAACCATAACAAACAGCTGATCGTGAAAACCTTTCAAGTTACACTACTTACACACTAGTTTCTCATCCAAGTTTCCCCGCGATGTCACAGAGAGAGCTCGAATGAACTCCTCGAATTCGATCGCGCCATCCTAAAAAAAGAAAAAAGAAATTTTTTTTTTCAACCACGATATTTCTTTAACCACTTACATCCCGCACACTAAGTAATATAATAAAAACGCTTTATACTAGAGGCAGGCAGATATTTCTGTGTGTAGCTTTTTACACGAACAAAATCCATGATGTTATGTAATCAATATGGAACCGAGAAAAGCTAACATTGTCCAGACAATTTATTTGTAGAAATTCCGTTTAAAAAAAGAATCCAATGATGTGTAGAAGTATACATATACACAAACATACATATCAATTTTTATTCTGGGTCGCGTATTTCATTCTATAATACGGGTTTTATACACGAAGAACATTTTGTTCATCGTGTTAGAGAACATAAATATAGAACCAAGCAATCTTTTTTTTTTTCAGATTTTACTCGAAAAGTTTAATATTTTTACCATAAACGTCAATTTGCAGACGATTAATTACGTCAACTATTTAATTAAACTTACACTTGATTATACATGGGGAACAAGCAGGTCGGCAGATACAAGTTGGATGGTAGAGAGCTTTCATTTCAGTGTTTTAATGTGGATGTTTAGCGAGATTTATTGACAGTACTCGAGACGTAACAACAGGTTTGGTAAAGAGATGTATTTCTGATAACAGTATGAGAACTGGGTCGAATCACGCTTTGCAATGAGCACACACACCTGCTAATTTAAAGGTGCCGCTTACGTGGCTGAAGTGAAAGCCCTCTACCATCCAACTTATATCTGCCGACCTGCTTGTTCCTCATGTATAATCAAGTGTAAGTCGCGCAAGTTTAATTGAATAGTTGACGTAAATAATCGTCTGCAAATTGAAGTCTATGGTTGAATAATTAAACTAGTTGAGTAAATCAGGCTCTTTTCTCATTACTCCAGAGAACACAAGTACCGACCTCAGATAACTTAAGTAAGAGTTTGTTTTTGTTGAATTTCATGCAAAGCTACTCAAAGGTTAACCGTCGACATCACCCACCGCCTACATTTGGAATAATATTTGAAGAGTGTGGATTGACTGTCACATTATAACGGCCCCGAGGCTGAAAGGGCATACATGTAAGAGTAAGCTAATATAACAAAAGCTGAACAACCAAAACATCGTCCCATTTTAGTGGGAATGTTAGAGAGAAATGCAACATGTCATCAATGGAGATGTGATTGTGTGAGTGGCTAAAACACATATTTTATCACTTTGGATATCGACGTAGAAAATATTTTTATTGTAATAAAAATCTCAAACATCAGACCAACACTAAACACATTTAAAAACTAAAAACCTACACAAAGATTTACACTATCATTTAATCTACATGTTACTGTCTAACATGAAATTAAAGTTGTAATCACATGCGGTCCAAAGGTTAGCGTGACGGACTATGGATCTGAGATTCCAATGTTCGCATCCCGGAACTGTAAAAAAAAAAACGCGCTTCACACTTTGGTGTCGTGAGTGCGTTTCAATACTGAAGGTCATACCACACTCTCACAAGAGTAGTTCAAGAGTTGGCGGTGGGTTAACTAGCTGTATTCCCTCTAGGTTATCACTCCAAAATTATATACGGATAGCGCAGACAGCCCTCGTGTCGCTTTGCACTAGATTCAACAAATACAAAAAAAATCAACATAGCAAAATAAAGAAGCGGATGAAAGTGCCATAATTATTGCCTTACTATCAGCGCAAAATTAATTGGTTTCAGGAATAAAAATTTGGTGCACGAATCAATTTTCCTTGACTTTATATACTTCAACTATCAAATCAGATTCCCTACCTTTAATCGTTATCAGCTAGTTAAATGTAATAGCAATAGCTCACATGTTGGGACAAATCAGTCGCCTGTCAGGCAAGAGATAAGTTCGGAAGGAGGACTATCATGGTGGATGATTGTTTGTTTGTAATTAAGCACAAAGCTACACAATGGGCTATCTGTGCTCTGCCCACCACGGGTATCGAATCATAGTGGATGAAGAAAATACTTACGTAAAACACTAAGTATATATATATATTCCTGCAGGATTTATATTAACGATGTATAAAACATTTATTGCAATATTTAACAGTTAACTATGTAACAGTTTAATGCACAAACAAGTTTTGAAAATGGAATGATACTCAAAATGGAAATATCTACTTAGCCGTCGGCTCCTCGGTGATTCAGTGATAAGCTTAAAGGCCTATAATGCAAAAACTGAGTTCGATACCCGCGGTGGGCGCAGCACACATATTTCATTGAGTAGTTTTATGTTTAAAAACAAACGAAACTTAGTTATCACGACGTCTCATTACAATAAAGAAAACACTACATGAAATATATCAAATTAATATACAGAAAAACACCACATGCAATATATTAAATTGAAATAACTATAAAGAAATACACTCAATGCAATGCATTAATTTACTGCAAAGAAAAACGACATATGCAATATATGTATGTATGTATTTGTAAATAAAACACCCTATGGAATAAATAAAATTACTACAAAGAAAAACACACACAATGCATTAGATTAAATTACTACAAAAAAACACACAATGCAATATATTAAATTAATATAAAGCAAAACACCCCATGCAATAGATTAAATTACTACAAAGAAAAACACACCAATGCAATAGATTAAATCACTACAAAGAAAACACACAATGCATTAGATTAAATTACTACAAAGACAAACACACCATGCAATAGATTAAATTACTACAAAGAAAAACACACAATGCATTAGATTAAATTACTACAAAAAGAAACACACAATGCATTAGATTAAGTTACTACAAAGAAAAACACACAATGCATTAGATTAAATTACTACAAAGAAAAACACACCATGCAACAGATTAAATTAATATAAAGATAAATTGCTCGTCGTGACAGAGCAAACAATTTATTCAACCATTCGAACATCATGTATGAAAGTTACGTTATATATATATAAAGGTTTGAATTTATTTAAAGTTGCACATTTTTCAGTCCACAGTAGCTTTGGAATCTATAAATATAACATTAAAGACTTTTGGTTCCTGTTTGTTTTTCTCTTTTTATGAAAAACTGAAGAACATTTTCGATGTAAGTACTTGTATATAATTGGTTAATTTTAACTGATCTGCTTTTTTAAGTAGAAACCTATCACTGAAATGAACGGCGAAACATTTTGTTTTACATGTAATAAGATTAAAACATTTTTCGTGTTTTTAATAAAATTATTTATTCTCATCACGTGCATCGAGTCGGTATTACTTATTGACTAATGACATCATGTTCGTAAAAAGTAATTTCTAAAACATATTTTACAATGATGTTAATTGCCTCATAAATATACGTATTTACATTTGGCCTATTCTTATCAGACACAAAAGACTCCTTAAAAATTCACTAATATTATACGGATTTTATTCAATATAATTCAGGTTGTGTAAAATCTATCGCTGCACAGTAGGATAGTCCGTAAGTATTTTCTAATTTATATTATCATTTAACAACATCTTTGCCGTGAATCATTTCGTAGCGTCGTTCGCTTTATCAGCTTCATACAACACATTACTTTTAATACGGAAGGAAATGCCGTGGAGGCTGAGTCATAGGACTTTCTCTTCGACTACCTCGACGACAGTGATTAACGAATCGGAGATCATCTGCACAGTGACGATCACCCCCACCTGTTATAACTGCTTATTAGTTTGATGCTGTTACCCCCCCCCCCGTGTTTGGTTATTTCTTTTTGAACCAAAATAACCTAACTAGTAAATTATTTTTTTTTGTAATGTCTCTGGTTTTTTTTTATTAATATATTAATTTTGGCGACTTAAAAGTATTTATCAACCCACACGCCTTAGTGAGTAGTTCTAAAATTAATACCCAGGGGCAAAAAAAATTCATTCATATTTCAATAAGGAAATGTGAACATTAAGAAGCTTTATGAGCTTATGAAGCTTACAATTTTTTGATCTCCCACACAAGGAGTAATTACATTCCTTCTTATAATAACTAATTTTAAGTAATTACATTCCTTCTTATAATAACTAATTTTAAGTAATTACACCCCTTCTTATAATAACTAATTTTAAGTAATTACATTCCTTCTTATAATAACTAATTTTAAGTAATTACACCCCTTCTTATAATAACTAAGCTTAAGTAATTACACCCCTTCTTATAATAACTAAGTTTAAGTAATTACACCCCTTCTTATAATAACTAAGCTTAAGTAATTACACCCCTTCTTATAATAACTAAGTTTAA